AGTATTTTTTGCCAACTTCAATTAACGTGAGATTTTGGAGGCCCCCCTCCGATCGCATTTCATCTGTCATGAGTCAGGCACAAAACAGACAGATTTCAGTTGGGAGAAGAAACCGTTTATTGCAAGTAAGGACAATAATAATAATAATACTTATCTGGATTTCCTCTGCTTGTGCTCTGGGAAATTTATCAATTTATCAGTTCTTTCCCATGGACTTTTCATCTGTTTCATTTTTGTCTCTGGCACTACGAAGTTTCACTACTTTGCCACCCTGAATTCTTGCTAGAAAAATTATGAGTGCAATATTTTTTTTTCCAACAACAGCAATGTATAATGGGGGGGGGGGGGAGAGATGAAAAAACAGATGCAAAACACTTTCCTCTTTTTTTTAATATCACAATGTAATGAATTTGCAATACATATCTGTATAGGCAGTAAAATTGTATGGCACAACCTCACACGACAGTTTTTGTGGGTTTCTCCCCAATCCATTGTTTTATTCTTGGACCTTTTGAATGTATATTTTAATATGTTCTGCCCCAGGCCTTAAAGCTAAAGGGAAAAAAAAGTTGCATTTATACAAGGTTATAATATTTTACAACAATAATATTGACTGAGGTTTGTTTTCTTGCAATCTTTCTCCCACTCTTGCTTTCAAACACTGCACACTCAAAAACGGATATATTATTATACATTGAAAACTGTCTTTCAAATCAGTAGTATAAAAGTCCTAGCACTGTTCGTGCGTATGTGGAAAGAGGGCTGGGTAATACATGACTCAAAATTTGCTGTTAAGGGTTGGGACAGGGGAAAGGGTCAGGCTTTGTCTCCCCCACAATAACATCCATGAAGTTGAAAGCAGTCAAAAAGCTTTCATCTGTTCAGCCTCGGTCCCAGTTCCCGTTTGGCTCAATTTTTTAATTCCAAGTGTTTGCTTTTTTGCTATGTCAGTCAAACCAGCAAAATAAACAGAGTTCTCAGCGGCTCTGTCTGCCTGATTATTTTTTCAAACCATTTCCAGGAAACTACCTTTTTTCACTGTTGTTTGTTTTCCAAGTGTTTTACAACATACTGTGAAATCTTGGTGTACTCGGAGACAAGGAACAGCCATGCCTCCCACCACCACCCGCCCCCCCGCCCCCCCCCGTGAAGGATATACAAATACTGTGCAAAAAAAAAAGTGTGCACATAGCTTGCGCTGTATCACTCTGGCAGCAGAAGTTGGTATTTAATAAAGCATTAACTATTGTGCTAAGCTGCCATTAATGGAGTTCTCTCACTATGAATGCATTCAAACACTTTATGGGTTTCCCCCTCTGTATTTCAAGTCAGAAGAGAATTAGCTTCTATGTTTGATACCTGTGTGTATCACTAAAATGGTAGCCCTAAACTGAATTTTCCATCCTCTTCCAATGATGTTTAAGCATGCTTATCCATCTCCTTTTTTTCTCCCTCGCTTCATGTCAACCAATGAGGTAATGTGGAGGCAATAATGTTCACAGGTGAGGTGGGAGGGGACTCAACAAAGGGCTGAGTCCTATTCTACCCTGTGTTGAATCTGCATATTCAAGAAAATCATGCCATGTTGTATTTTTCACCTTAATGATTCAACAGCCAATCCAGAACACTACTCCAGTCATTCTGCAATATCTCCTGAATTATACATAGAGTCTACATATGCATTGACTTATTCAAATAGAAAGCCACATTTGAGTTGACTTCAGCGTGTGGCAGGCATCAACAGAACTTAGTCTCACACAAAATACACTGCAAATGTATTTCTGTACATTTCTGGTACAAGCATAACCTAGATGCATTTCCATCTGTATGCTACTGCATGCACACACATGTGCAGTGTAGCTCATATGCACAGCTGCAGCTGGGCTTTTAACTATTATGAAAGAAAATATAGGTCTGTGTTAGTTATACAGCAATGCACATCTAAACAGACAGGGCACAACCACATGAAAGTTTTAGGGGCTGCCAACTGAATGTTAAGAACTAAATTAAATGCAAATCAGTGCCCTCTGAAAACTTAGAGCACATGGGACAGAATGCATGGACATCCAGCTACCCTCTAAGAGATGGTAAACATAGCTGTTTATACAATAAACATCTTTGCACAGTCAGTTCACACACACACACACTGTATTCTAGATATGCACACTTAAGAACACAAAAAAACATGATTAGGCATGGATAATATTATTCAGGCACTGACAAGGACACACACATTATTTCCTGCATGAGAATTCTAGCCATAACTTTCAAAGATACCCTTTCGTCTTGATGAGAGTTCTGCAGTCTCCATTCACAGGAGAGAGCAATATCCCTGCCTGAGAAGTAATGGTTAGACCTGGGATTCATAGCTTAAAGGGGAAGGGTGATTAAGCAAGAACAACTTACCCTAACAGTTTAGGCAGACAGCACAAAAGTTGCAAACCTGTTACACATTCCCTGTGGGGAAACTGAAGTAGCTCTGCGGAAGGTAGCACATTTGTTGGCAGGATTCTGTCTATGCAGCCTGAATGAACCCAGGCTGAAGCAGGGTTCCTTGGTGAGTTTAGCAGTCTTACTGAAATTAGAAAAGTATCAAAGTGCTTAACTTTTATGAAGACTTTTATTTTTGTTTTGGCAGTTAGTCCGTCAGTTGTGGCAAGGAGTGTTGTAGAAACAGGGTTGCATAGCCATCACAGGCATGTATTGGATAGTGCATGTGACATCACTGCTAAAGAGATGCAAGTGAAGATCTCTCCCCCCCCCCTCTCCACAAAGGAAAGGAATTAGGAAGAGGTGTGTGTGTGTGTTTTTGAAAAATCAGAGACACTGAAATACATACACAAAAATATATAGGGAATAAAAACACATAGTATGAAACATGATGGGAAGTTAGATATATATAAATCAAGCACTCTGTTTCTGAAGCAGAGTTAGAAGAAGCAGGACAGGGAAAGGCAGATCTCCCCTCACATTTCATATCATGTGTTTTTATTCCCTGTGTATTTTTGTGTATGCATTTCAGTGTGTATATACTCCTTTTTGCCATGGAGATTCTCCAACCACTTCACCTCCTGTGGGCCCAGGTTCAGGGAAGGCCAGGAAGCCTGGCTGTCTGTGAGAATATCCAGCTGCATCCTTCCCATTCCAGGCTGGAGTGTGTGTCAACGGCGTGTGATTCCATTGCCACATGTGAGCCGGGAGGCAGGTGTGTGCTTGTGCCCCAGGAATGACTGAGGGCATTCTTAACCCAAATAAATGCTTGGGAATTACAAAGCCTGCATAGCAGCTGCTCACGGATGAAGGGAGACCAGTAGCTACCCATCTAGTAAACACCTCTTAAAAACCAGACGGGCACTTTAAAGGGCTTTCCTTCTCTTTGGTGGATGTGGATTTGTACTTTTAAAAAAACTAAAAAACCCAAACACTACTAAAGCTTTCTTTTTCATTACTGAGTTGAACAGAATCTCAGCTAACTCAACGCAAATCTTCTTTGATCCACCTATAAACATGGGGAACTGGGAGGTTGCCATCATCCTGATGAATGGGGAAGGCAAGAGGTGGGTTTGTGTCTGGAAAAAAGCTTTCAGCTGGGAGCAAAAGCATTTCCAACCAGAGAAACAATCTCTAGCCTTACTTTTGCAAGACAGGATCCTGTCAATTTCCATTCACTGGTGCTTTAGGAAGGAGCCATTTAAAGAGGACACCAGGAAGACATGTTTCAAGCTGGATTCCTGGTGGGAGCAGCACATATATAACATAAAGGCTTTTGTTCTGGGAATCACAAAGTTTGTCTGTTGCTGGTCAGAAGCCTGTGCATGGAAGCGCAACACAAGAGGAGACAAACACACACCATGGCCGCCTTTAGAGCCAAGTAAAAAAAACAAAAGTGGAACAAGGGTAGGAAAATGGAAGGAGAATGTTTGTCTCTTTTTATTACCCACAGCCTTCTCCCAGTGCTGTTCTTCAAATATATCAATACATCTGATGACTGCATTTAACTGAGGGGGGCACCTCCAACAGCTGATTTAGTGATGTTGCACTAAACCTGAACATTTGTGTTGGTAGCTCTCTCTGCCTGGGTGTGGTGGGGGGAGGCCAAGGTAAAATTTTGTAACGAAGCAGTACCAACTAGTACATGAGACTGCCAAACATTTGCTGCTTCAGACTGTGTTATCTTTCTATTTTGTGGCTAGTTTCTTAGATGAGAAGTGGATCCTTCTCTGGTAGAACTCTAAAGCAGCAACACAGATAATCCTCTGTACCTTGATTCAGGATGGGACATAGCCCTGACTTTGCCTGTTCTTTTTACTCCGTGCTCAGTCCCTCCCCGTAGGGTGGTACGCTTGGACTCCTGTTTACTACAGCAGAGTGGGGGGGGGGAATGAGAGAAAAACAAATGACAAAACAGCTGCTGCAGTTTTCACCCAGTTCAGTTAGATATTTTGGTATGGAGCCATCTGCGGGTTGCAACTGGGCATCTCTGTGGTAATGGTTTGCCAATGTCTGAAATGTGCTAGGTCAGCATCCCTTACAATCAACAGGCACATGCACCCTCTACAATGAAGATAAAAGCCACATGCTCCTGGTATAGGGTATCATTAGAACAATTTGCAAATGGCTCATGATGGGAGTAATTAAAGAGAAACTGTAGTTTGAGAGCTGGTCCCCCCTTCCCATTTTGCCCCCAAGAGAGACAAATCTGGGTATTTCTAGGCCACTGGCTCCCAACCTTGTGTTCCCAAATGTGCTTGGATTAAAACTCACAGAAGCCTTTGTTGCCATCTGGATTTCTGGCCAAGATTTCTGGGAGTTGCAGTCCAAGAACATCTTGGGGACCCAAGATTGGGAACCAGTGGTCTAGACCAGTGGTTCTTAACCTTTGTTACTCGGATGTTTTTGAACTGCAACTCCCAGAAACCCCAGCCAGCACAGTTGGTGGTGAAGGCTTCTGGGAGTTGCAGTCCAAAACTCCTGAGTAACCCAAGGTTAAGAACCAGTGGTCTAGACAGTCAGCTCTTAGTGAGGACAAAACATGTTGCACCGCTCTTTTCATTTCGTCCCCTTAACAGATTTTCTATCAAGATGGAGAAAGTAGTGGAAAAACATAGAAAGGTGTACAAATGGAAAGACGGCATCTTTGGGATCCATTCCCCCCCCCAAAAAAAAACTAGACTTCATCTCTAAGCACCCTTGGTGCCAGGAAATGCTGGAGGGGCAAATGTCCCTTTTCATGGGCAATCTAGAGAACACTAATATAAGGGAGAAACGCCATGTGAACAGAAAATAACAGTTTTTTTAAAACTCATGTGGTATAAGCACCAACTATTTCTTTCTACATGCCTGATCTAGGGGACAAAAAGATCCGCAGTGATTAAAACACTCCAACTAGGATAATATATGCAATGCGGTTACACCCAGGGTAGCTAAAAGTGCTGCATTCATATTTCTGAGGAGGGCATTGGCTGCCTCAAGTCCAAGAGTGGATGGATTGGTTCAGTTGTCCCTGTTTGCTCTGTCAAGTGTCTGGAGGGCAACGGCTGCAGGCCTGTCATGTTGCCCACGATATGGCCGCACTGTGCTCCTTGGCTTTCATCCGCAGAGCTGCGATGCTGGAGGACTTGCGGTCAGGCTCCCCGTTCAGCTCATACCCATTGATGCCAGGGCTGATGCCTGTGCCGCCGAAGAGGCTGCCCATGTGAGTCTGCCCCACATGGCTTCCAGGACCGGAGACGCTCAGGAATTCTGAGACTCCTCCGGTGGTGTGGGGATGAGCGTGGGGAGACATGCAGGAAGGCACTGAGTCACAGGGCACTACGCAGGCTGGCACCGGGGAGGCAGCTCCGTTGTTGCCAATCCAGGATGGATTCTGGATCTGAGATCGGGGTAGGAAGGGAAAGATACCAGTTAGGTCACATTGGCTTAGGCCACAGCTTTCAGAGTGTACTCAACAGACCCTATTAAAGAGGTTGACCCTATTAAAAAGGTACAGAAAGTGTGAACTTGTTCAGTGTTGCTTTCATTGTAGAGTTGTGTGGACCCATTCTCAAAGGAACATGGACACCTTTGAAGAGTGTAACTGACGTCTTCCATCATATTGACAGTGTTGGTAGCCACCAAGGTTCTTATTTTCTCTCCAGCTGTCTATTTCCTTGAGATCATCTCTATAGCAATCTTAAACACCCTCATGCCCCAGCAACTCTCTCTCCCTTGTCATCTGCCCCAGCTCCTGCAGCTGGTGGTGAACTATGTCAGCTGCAATGCTATTTACTATAACTAGAATTGTTCCCACCCATGAGACTCTGCTGGTTGGCTTTATGTGTGTGGTGTTTTTTGTTTTGTTTTGTTTTTTGCATTTCTTAAGTCTATCACATGAATGCAAAACTATCACACACCTCTGATGTAAAATTAGCTCTGGATTTTTACCTTGATAATACTCAGGACAGCTCATTAGAATGCTGATGAGCCCCTGATAATTATGTTAGGGATTCATCAGCATTCTACAGTAGTACCTGGGTTTACAAAATTAATCCATCATCCGGGACGTTACATAATGCGGAAATTATGTAAACCGGAATGTGGATTGCCGTAGCAACGGGGGTGGCGCTAGAAACCTCCAGGCATGTCCTTTTTGTACAGTGAAAAGAAACACATAAAAACCATAAACCAAGGCATTATTTCCGTACAATGAAAAGAAACCGCATAAAAACCATAAACCAAAGCATTATTTCTTATGGATTTTGGCTCGTAAAGGCATTATTTCTTATGGATTCCGGCTTGTAAACCAAATATTACGTAAACCAAGGTGCACGTAAACCGAGGTACTACTATATACATAATATTTAAAATACATTAAAAGATATTGATGCTTCATGTTTTTGGAGACCAGGAAATCCTGACAACAGTCAACTTGGCTGATCAATCAGGTTTCTGTGGTCTGTCTCTCCCATTTTGATCCTAGGGGGTTCTTTCAATAACAGCTTAAGATTTAGTACCGGAATCTGCTTTTTGTTATTCCTACTCTCCTTCCCACCTGCCCCTTTTGTAGTATCTTTAAGTTTCAAAGCCTCAGAGCAGCAAGTACCTTAAAAAAAATCTCCAAAACATGGTAGGATGATTTCTGGCTAAAGAATAAGTTTAAAATGATGATAATTGTGACACTGATGAGGAATGAGCTCTATTTGTCCCAACAACAGGCCATCAAAATCATGTCAATTGGTACATTTGTTACCACTGGATACTCAAAATGTGAAAAAAGTAATATGGCTTTGTTATTCAAGAGATGATCCTAAGGGAAACTTTTGCAGAATACAAGGAGAGAAAAGTGCAATACAGTACTGGGAGAGTACAAAGACCCACTGGCATCACAAACAGGCCACCACAAGTCAAGATTCACATCTACTATGCTTCATCCATTGGCCTAGTTTTAATCTTAATGGCAAACAAATGAATGGACAACACTTTCTCGGTAACTACTAATACATCCATGTCAATTGGCAGAAGTGTGGGTTTCCAATACAAAGAACAGAGCTGGTACCACTTCCTCCTGACAGAAGCAGGGTGCCTTAAATGCAAAGTATGGCAGGCAACTATTCAACTGATGCAGCTCCTTGCTGGATTCAGATGCAATCATGTGTAAAGCTGGAGCTGGTGTTTTCCTGCTAATCAGTCATAAAAAGCACAGGAAAGAAAATGTGGACATTCTTAGAAAGGAGAGCCTTCTAACAAATGAGGCCAATTGTCTATCAAGCTCAGATTGCTCTGCCTTGATTGACAGCAACACTGCAGACAATTGTAGCCTAGACAAATTGGCTTGGTTTTCAAATGTAAGAGTTCCCAATACTTTTTTTATTCAGGATTCTTTAAACTGGAGTTGCTGCTGGGGCAGCCTGTGATTTAATATCCCCACTAGCTCTGAACTATGTTCCTCCCAACTTCTCAAAAGCTGTGACAGTAACAAAGGACAGTGGAAGTCTAGCCCAGCAAACACATTATCTAAGATTCTACCGCCAAGGAGAAGCAAGAATGGCCTTTACCAACAGCAACAGCAAGAGCTAGGAAACCCTATGGGGGTGGGGGGAGGGGATGTGTGTGATGAGAGGGAGTGTGAGATGAAAGAATGCAACAGGAGATCATCCAGATGGAGAACAGGAACCTGCAAGTTTATGGAAGTCCTGCATTCCACAGCATTCCAGCACCAGTTAGTTCAGTTCCACATCTGACCCTTTACCTCTCTTAGACTCGGTGTTTGTAGCAAGTAGTGGGGGAGAGGAAATGTCAGCACAGTCTTCCAAATAGCAAGGATCTTAGTGTCATCCTGTACAGAGATGACTCCAAGCACTTTGTATGCAGCTCTGTTTGGCCACACCACCCCATTTCAAAAAAAGGGATCATGGAGCTGGGGCAAGTGCAGAAAAGATTGACTGAAATATATCCAAAGGGAAAAATACCCCTAAATTGCTAACGGATCTTCAGATTAGGAAAGAAAAGGAAAGGACACCTGAGGGTGATGAGCAACAAGGCTTATGTTGAACCAAACAAAACACTGGTGTAATTCCCAGCGAGACCATAGCATACACAAGGGAGAAATGTTTTCTTTCCCAAGTTGCCACAAATGGGAAGTTTTTTTCAGGACTAACAGGGCTATTTTAATTGGGACTGTACAGTGAGAAGAGTAAACCTCTACTTGAATGAATGATTTTTAATCCAATAGCTTTGTAGTACAACACACCAATGTATGTCCTTGGTACTGTGTTGACTTATGGTGACCCTATGAATGAGTGACCTCTAAATGATCCTGTCCTCAATAGCCCTGCTCAGCTCTTGTAGACTCAAGTCTGAAGTTTCCTTTATAAAGTCAATCCACCTCATATTTGGTCTTCTCTTCCTGTTGCCTTCAACTCTTTCTTGCATTATTGTCATTTCTATTGAGCCTTGATTTCTCATGATGTCTGGCTAAAGCATGACAGCTTCAGTTTCATCAGTTTACCTACCCTAATGTAATGCACATTTACTCTTAAGGTAATCACACAGAGTTCAACTGCCTTACTTCCAAGTACTGTGCATAGAATTGTAGATGCATGACCAATCCTCCAAAGCATTTCAATTTCTCCAGTTTCATAGTAACCATGCTCTATGCCACTCATCTACTTCCTCCTGTTTTTGAAATTCAGGGCTCAATTCCACAAAAAGGGGAGGTCAAAATGAAACAAAGCAAAACAAAACATTTGTTCATTAAACTTGCCATTACTTGTCTCATGCAACTGTTCTACACTTAAGTGCAGACTGGGAGTCTTTTGGGAGTTGAAGTAAGAAGGGGGCTGATACAGATGCTCACCTGGGCATAGTTCTCTGCTCGAGTCAGCAAAGGCAACTCATAGGCTGTGGAGAAGTGGGTGCGGACCTGTTGCATTTGACCAAACCGTTCTCGTTTCCTCCATTTTGCCCGTCTGTTCTGAAACCAAACCTGAGGAGAGGAGCACAAGAGGGTCCGCATCAGGGAAGGCATTGGGGGCAAAGGGAAGTCACAGACTAGAAGCAGAAAATATTTTCTCCAGAGAGATGTAAGCCGTTCGAAGGAGAACGGGTGCTGCTTGGGATGTTACAATACACTCCTTCTGTGTTAGCCTATGGAGAACAGATGTTGCAGGTTTTCAAATTATTTCCAACACTTTCAAAAACTGCATGAGAAGAAAAGCAAAGAAATATTGGTGCAAACCTATCCAGAGAAGAAGAAAAGGTTCTCGTGAATGATACTGAAACATACTCTGTCTTCAACCTTAGATGAGATAATAGTGCAGGCAACACACCAAAGAAGGTATAGCAACACAATTCTGTCAGTGTGACAATAGCTCTAATGCCGTAATTGCATCATGGAGAAGCAAAACGAGTCTGGCTTTGAATATGAAACTCAAATTTCAAATACAACCATATCTCAGTCGAACCACACATTTATATTTGAGATACCTATCTTGTTGCTCATGAATAACTATCGGACACCTTTAGTTGGCACTGATCAGATACACTGAAGAAACTACGCCCAGGTGAGGAACCACTGATGCAGATGTTTTGCCTACAATACCCATCAGCCCCCATTCCAGCAGAGCCCATGGTACAGGATTGTGGGAGTAGTAGTACAAAGTATATTAAGTACGAGAGTTTCCTCACCCCTGGATTATATAGCCATCTAGTTTAGCAGTCCCTCTTTCCGCTAGTCTTGAATTGTGACATTAGATCTGCCATAATGTGCACTTTCTACATCGTATCTTTATACATGGCCCCTATCATATACATCTATCACTTTTAATTTCTATTTTCCGATGTTGCTATCTAGGAATATGCATTTTCCTGCATATTCCTAGATAGCAAGCTCAGCACAGCCCTATCAGATTGGGGTATGTGTTGAAAAATCCCTAGTCTGAATCTCCTCTCTGCCATAAGGCACATCAGCTAGGTAGACTTAGGCTGTGATTACTTGGTCAAATACAGTGGGATTTTCTCTGTCTATAAAAATTGGTGGATTTGTTCTGTATTTTAATGTCTGTATGACATTCAAGGCAGATTTGGTTCCTCCCAGCCCATTCCTGCCAAACTGGCTTTTTTCCTCTGCCTCTATAAGCCTGGATTCAGTTGTGTATTTAAACCTGCAGATATTCCTACAAAGATGGGAGGCATGTCTTTAGCTGGTGTTTTTATTGATGTAAGGACTTAGGACATGCTTTTCAGGGCAATGAGAGCATACCCCTACCATCATCCTCTGCACATACAAAAACATAAATACACACACAAAAGCAGGGCAAAATGAAAGACGTTTGGAATCCTTTTGTAACCAAGGAGCTTCGCAGCTAACCATAAAAGGAAAGAAGAGGTGGGGCCAGAGGAAGGAAGGAAATAAGGGGGTGGCTGGGTGGGCAGGATTGTGGGTCGCCTTGCAAATGATATGAACGGGGCACTCTTGAATTGTGTGACCTCTGTTTGCAATTTGAAACATAATGCAGGCTGTGAATCAAAAGCAGCAAAGCCAAATCCTTCAGATTTAGCTCTTTAGTGCAATTACACCCTTAGACAAGGCACTTCTCTCAGCCTCAGCTCTACTGCAACATCTGCAATAGGAAGAACAATACTGTAATAGTTACCTTTCAGTGATACCTTTCATCCACCCTAATGCTCTTCAGATATGCGGACTATAACTCCCAGCCTGCATAGCCATCAACCACAAGTTATGCAGTCAAGGGCACCTTGTTGGGAAGTACAATAGAAACCAAACCCAAAATATTGTGGTCCCTCAGAGACTGACAGATTTATCTCCATGCATGTTTTCAGGAATTACCACACACTTCCTAAAACACATGAAGTGAAATGTTTTATTACACTTTTTAAAACAAGTATACATGAAGTAAATATGTGTGAATCCTGGAAGTAGGCACAGAAAATGCTATTTCAAAATGACAGTAGCAGTACGCACACAAGTAATGAACTTCTGGGAGTGTAGATTACATGAACATCCCGACATACCTTAGGTAGTTACCTGTCTTTCAAGGGACCCGTTCTCACTTCATTCCCACCCTGGCGACATATACTTGTAGACAAACCTGTAACTAGACCTTTTACTTCACATGTCTGAAGAATTGGGTTGTAATCCACCAAAGCTCACAATGAAATAGGTTTTCTAGCCCTTAAGGTGCCACAATGATTTTATTTTTGTTTTCTTTTTGTTATATAACTTGTAATCCCCTCACACAGTTACCTCCATCAAAACTGTTGGACAAGACTGTCTTCCAGGCTTGTGTGAGAAGCCGGATTCACATGAAACAATTCGAACAGTTAGGAGTACTCTACAAATATTAAGTACTGTGATCATGATCTGCAGCTCTCCTTCGGGTGCCTCTTGCAATAAAGTAATATGAGCCAGTATCAGCTTCCATTTTCCTGATATTTAAATTAAATCAAACTCCCCAGTGTCCACCTTCACTAGGATACTATAGATCCCAGATCTTCAAAATCTACGTTATTTTCACTAGAACCCAGAGATCCATCATCTAGAGTGAGACACAAAATGATGGCTCAGGAAGTGGAACAAATGATCTATTTAACTTCTGAGGCAGACATGGGGATGACCTGCATGCCACAAACCGGCATCAGAGCAACTGCAGGATAGTGATTCATTATTGTAAAATAATTGGGTTTTGGAAGGCCTTATGAATGTAGCAGAAATGAGAATGGGATCTATCAGTAGATCTCCATCAACCCTCTGTCCACCTATGTAAAAAAATGAAAAGGTAAGAGTGAATACTGAGCACACTTTCAATAGATAAGACATAATTAATACTGTATAGCTTATATGACTCTGAGAAATGACTCTTCCTGAAGAAATATGAGAAATGCCTGGCAGGGACAGACAAGGCTTCATCCTTGCAAGAATTGCAGCAACTAGGAGCTGCTTCTTGGGTTGTTGAAAATAGGCACAGTCTACCTTCAGCTGTATCCTGAACTCAGAAGCCAGATTCAAAGGAAGGGAACAGGGGCAGAAGGAAATGAGGAAGCTTAGTGAGAGAAAGGAGAGTTTAGTTTTTGTATAGCTATTTAAAACACACCAGTGGGAGCAGACAGATGGATGCTCTGTATTCCCGAGGAAGAGAATAGGAAAAGAAGAAAAACCCAACTGAGGATTGCCAAATGTAACTTGAACTCTGCGTTTTGAAAGCATTAAAGTACCTAGCCGGAGCCAGAAGGAGCCATTTGGGCTTCTGGGGAAAGCAGCGTGGACCCCTACCTGCTCTGTTCTCAGGAATGGGGATGAGCACACATACCACCAAAAGAGGAGGAGGAGAAAGTGAAAATGTATGCTTTTGAGGGGGGGGGAAGGTTAATTGCCATTTACCTCTAGATTTTAAATGCTGGTGTCTTGGGACACAGCCTCAGTTGCTCCACCCTAGTTACATCACTGTACCTACCAAGAGTATGAGAGAAGGAGATGACAGATCAAGTAGGAATAACAGAATGAAAAACATGCCTTAAATGTAGGCTTCATACTGTTCATAGAGTTAATTACAACTTTTTAGCATGCAGGCACACTTAAAACCGCACACACACAACCACCCATATACAGGTTGTCATATACATGTACTGAATATTTTTCTATGGAAATGGTTTCTACATAAGAAGTTTGAATGATGTGTTAAGTAAGCCATAGTAGAGAGACAGTGACTTGCCCAGAGCTATCTAGTGAGCTGTTATTATAACATTATTATTAGGATTTGCACACTTTGCTATTAAAGTCAGACTGTAAAGAACAACACCTTAATTGGCAGCCACGGTTCGGTTACCTTGCGATTGCTGATCAAATATCAGGGAATCACCCAAACAGCTGCAAGATATTAACCAGTAACACCCAAAGCATTAATAACTTCTAAACTATTAGCTATCCTGCTAGTGTTCAAGTGCAAGATGAAGCGATTCCCCAGAATTCTCCTCTTTCTCAAATTTCAGCATCTGCCATCTGTCCAGATTAAAAAACAAAAAGGGAATGTGGAGAATGAACCATAACAAGCCCCTTCTAGGCAATGTCATTTTTTGCTTATGTGATGGTTCAAGATTCTGCCACAAGAAACCACTGGCATCGCCATAATAGTATAGAAGCCATATTGTATAAAGCTAGTTGTAAAAAGAAGCTGAAACCAATAATAACTGAATAAGATGGACAAAAATATTCTCAGCCTTTCTCCTCTTTGATGCAGTGTGACTGATAAATGGTTAATTTTTTTGGTCAGACATTGACCAAAATCCTTTTGTTTAGTGTACTAAATCACACTAGCGTAGGCCTATTGAATCAGTAGAGGTTTGGTGACTTAAATCCTCTGTCAGTTCCATTGATTCAAATGCGCTTAGTCTACTTGTGACTTTGGTATGCTAAATTATAATCAGAGCTGGCCCATTTGAACCAATGGAACTTATTCAGGAATTGATTCAGCAGACTTACTCAAGTGCAGTTTACTAAACTAAGCAACAGGATTTTGGCCATAATGTACTTCAGCTTTTTGCTGTGGCCTCTGGCTGTTGTAGTTGTTAAATGAGTCTTAAAATAATCAATTTAAAATAAATAAACAAACAATTCTTGGTTTTCAAAACTTGTTTGACAGTACAACAAGAATAAGGAGCTAATTGTAAAAAGGAGCCCAAATTAACAATAACTGAAGCAGATGGACAAAGCCTTGCCAGCCTTTCTATAATGTTTATGCTATGCATGTTTAGTTGGAAACAGAGGTTGAAAAGGTTATTTTTTGAAGGCTGTAACTGCCAGACATACTGGCCCTGTTGGCTAGGAGCTTCTGGCAGTTATAATTTTAAAAAAGGAACATTTCCAAGCTCTGGTAAAATATTGTATCCCTCATCTAAATCCCATAGAACTGAAGAGAAAAATCAAATGTCACAGTTAAGAGAAGTAAAAATAAAATAAAATAGATTCCC